ACCGCGACTTCCAGGCCCTCACCCAGGAGCTGCACGACTTCGTGCAGGCCAAGGTGGCGCAGCACCGCCAGACCTTTGATCCGCGTGCCATGCGTGACGTGAGCGATGTCATGATCGCCACCGTGGAGCGTGGCAGCGTGTCCCCTCATGGGCTGGGGCCTGAGGATGTGGAGAGCGCCATGACCGATATCTTTGGTGCAGGGCAGGACACCACGTCCACTGCGCTCTCATGGGTCCTCCTGCTGCTGCTGAAGCACCCACAGCTCCAGCAGGACCTTCAGGCCGAGCTGGACCGGGTAGTGGGACGTGGCCGGCTGCCCACAGCCGAGGACCGGCCCCACCTGCCTCTTCTGGAGGCCTTCATCTACGAAACCCTGCGCTACAGCAGCTTCGTGCCCATCACCATCCCGCACGCCACCACAGCAGATGTGGAGCTGGAGGGCTACCACATCCCCAAGGACACCGTGGTCTTTGTCAACCAATGGTCAGTCAACCACGACAGCAGCAAGTGGCCTGAGCCCCAGCGCTTCGACCCCACGCGATTCCTGGATGAGCAGCAGTGCCTGGACCGTGACCGGGCCAGCAGTGTGATGATCTTCTCGACCGGCCAGCGGCGCTGCATCGGCGACCAGCTCTCCAAGCTCCAGCTCTTCCTCTTCACCGCCATCCTCCTCCACCAGTGCTCCTTCCACGCCAACCCGGCGGAGAAGCTCACCATGGACTGCATCCACGGGCTGGCGCTGAGGCCACTGCCCTTCACTGTCACCGCGCGGCCGAGGCTCCCCGTGCTCATCCAGCCCTGAGCACCGCACCTGCCTGGCTTGGGGACAGGGATGGGCAGTGCCAGGGTGGCAGGGGACACCCTGCTTTGCACACCAGTGGCTCTTGCCGCTACAGAGGGTCAACAGTAGCGAGTCACCACAGCAATAAATGCCTTCGACATGGGACCTGTCTCTGCTCATTTTCTTTGTGGGGTGGCTGGAAGCACCGCTTGTACCCAAGCCCTTGTCCTGCATCCTCCTGAGCTCTCCAACCCTAAAACAGGTCAAAACTGCAGGGACTGCCTCCCTCCCAGTTGCCCCAGAGTACAGCTAGAAGTGATCTGCTCTGCCTATGGCAGGAGTGGGACATTTGGAGTAGATGCACTTCGTAACTTGGGGAAAGCCAGGTGGGAGCTAAGGGAGGCAGGGGTGGGTCTTGTCTCCAGGTCTTGCAAAGAGTTTAAGGACCTTGTTTTAAGAGCTTGTCCTGGTGCACGGCCCCATCAGTTGGACCTCAAGAGCACATCCTGCCCCGATTTAGGTGTGCAAGGAGGTTGGGACAGGTTTTGGGGGGGCTATCTCACCCCCCATCCTGAATTCCACTAGTGGTTTGAAGCAGAAGAGCAGCTCCAACCTAAGTTAGCACAGCTGGGTTTATGATAGGGATGTGTATGACCCTCAAAAGGGAGGGCAGAAACTCCACACAAGCCAACGCCGTGCTTCTCTCAGGTCCACCAGACTATGGCCAAACCAGGAACCTTCAGAGGGGACAACTCATCTCCTAATGACAATAATTTACCAATAGGGAATTCATCCTCCTTCAGAGACTTTAGCAAAGACGTGATTTAATTATTCGGGGTGGGGGAACAATGCAATTTTCCACTTGCCAAAATTGCAGCAGGATGGAGAGATGGGGAGGGTCTTCCTGCCAGATGCTTGAAGCTGTGTCCAGCCCAGGTTTGAGCATCTCCAAGGACGGAGACTCTACATCCTCTCTGGGCAGCCTGTGCTGGCATTTGCGCTCCCCATGAAAAATGCTGCTCCCAAAACCACGTTGGGATTTCCCAGCGTTGCCGCCAGGAGATATTCATTTTGGTGAGCATGAAACGAGACGGCAGCCAGCAGCAGCTTCATAATACCAAGTTTTAAAAACAAGATCAGGTTTTCTCTTCTGACACATCTGTGAAAACATCTCTTGGGATGTTGCAAGATAAAAAACCCACAATGGTTATCTCAGCACCACCTGTTGCCAGTTTTACCACAGGTGGGTGTCTTCAGCTTTTATGGTCCAGATGGGAACCCTTTGCCCAGGAGCAGCATCCTCTGGAGATTCTGGCTCCTGCACCTCATTTAGCAATGCTCAGCCTTCCCTCCTGGGATCACAGGCTGGATATTTATTAATTTTATGGAAAAATTGAAAGAGATGAATGAACATGACATGTCACAGCCATGAGATGAGATTTGCAGCCTTATGGCTCTGCATAAACCCATCGGCATGTTGGCTGTGTCTTGCTTCCCCTTCTTGGCCCCGACACAAAGGAGGCGAGGACGTTGCTACTCATTGGAAAGCCCAAAGCTGTGAGATGGAGAAGGTGGGGAGAACGTGCTGGTAATATTGCTAATTTTCTCCTTGCCCCGATATTACTCCCTATGTAGCCAACCCAGAGCCCAACATGGGAACACGGCTCTTACATCCCCATCCCCTTTATCATTAAAACTGAACATCCCAGTACTCGTTACCCAACGATGGCTGAAGAGGAGGAAAACGCTCCCGGCTGAAGCCAAGAGTATCACTGCTCGCCTCCACGTTTCCCCGAATTGTGGCGATTGAGGCGTCCAGGTTTGACACGGCACAGAAATCCTCCCGGACCGCTGGCTCGCGGCAGCGCCGTGCAAAGTGTGCGGCTGGAGCTCCTCTTTCCGCGGGGGGAGGAATCTGCTTACGACACTTACGCAAAGGATTTTGCAATGCTTTGACCACCTCATTTCTCAAGCTTAGGGAGAGATTTTGCCAGGAAATATTATTTTTTTTAATGGGAGCAGGATGCTGGGAAATGCGTTGTGTATTTAGAGTCCCCTGCGTCCAAATCCATTCCCGCTCGCCATCCAAGATTACAGCCGTCTTTGCACGCAGGCAGGTGCTGCACAGCTTCCACTGGAGCTTCTGAGCCACTGAAATGCTGGAATATGATCTCTATTATTTAGCAAAAGACACACAAGAGACCCCCTTGCAGAACTAAGCCTTTTACTAAGAAGAAAAGCAATCAGTGAATTATTAATCTTTCCTTCAAAACAATTCACTGCAGGTATGTAAGCAACCCAGAGCCTCTTCTGCTTTTCATAAACAATTTGATTATTAAAACCTTATCCAAAAGGCCTTTAACTTCTTCATCAGTCAAGCTGACATCCGCCCAGTAAATAAGAAGCTGACCTTTGTTATGGGATCCATTTATAATGGCAGGGACTCTCCATAGAGAGGGAACAATCCTGCGTTATCTTGTCTTCCTCCGCGGTCTTGAGCCCTTCTCACATTTTTATTTGGGAAAAGCAAAAATTGTCTTGGGAAAGCAAAAAATAATACACTAAGAGAACTAAATCTCTAGCTACTGAAGTTGTTGAGATCATGCCTGCGTGCTTAACTGAGATTGCAACACCTGTCTGCATGTGCAAAGCCTGAAACGGTAACTCATAAACATCACAGGTCTATACTAAACAGTAACTGTGTTCAGACCTCCTCCTCCTCCATCCCGATTTTAATCTTGATTTCTCTTCACGCTGAAAACACTCCCCTACAGCTTATTCATTATAATGCCCTGGAGACTCTGGAATGAGCTTATGCTAAATGACTTGGAGTAAAATAGTGACTGCTTATTTGTATCAACCCAGTGGTTTGCCATGCAGCACTAAGAACTGCTGTAAAAACAAGATGGAAAGCCTACTGCAGTCCTCCCACTTTGGGTTCTCTCTCAAACCAAGCAGGATCTCAGCAGGTCAGGTTTTGCCAGGGTATTTCCAAGGAACTAAGGATGTCACTGAACCAAAGAAATCTGGATTTAGCAGAAATCTCAAAGCCAGAGTAGGGGTCAGAAGGACCATCCCCTTCCTAGTAGGAAGCAGTGCTGACATTTCTACTCCAGTACTGAGTCAGAATATTCCCAGCACATTGGAGAGGTGGTCACAGCTCTGGTATGCTCTTTTCATTGGAAACCAGCTTCATAACTGACCTCGTCTACTTCTAAATGCCTTTCTGAACAGGCTACACTGGCCCAAGCCAAGGCCAATGCTGACCTCCTCTCTGTGATGTTGAAGTTGCTTAAAAACATTTTCCCAGCTGCATCCTCCTGCCCATGTCCATCCACTCCCTTGATCACTAAGGTAACATGCGAGTACTGCAAACTGTTACTTAAAATGTCATTCAGAAACTCCTGCTGGTCTGAGAGTCACAGAGATTTCTGGTGACCAACAGGGTACCTACAAATCCTTCCCTGACCTGGTGTCCGCAGTATCACACCTGCCTTGGGGCTAAGCCAAAGACTTGCCTGTGGCACAGGTCTCCTCCTGCCCAGCCCTGTTCTCTGCTTCTGGGGGGTTTCTTCTCTGCAAAGCAGCAGATGTTGGCAGATTGCCCTCTGTTTATCAGCTCCAGATCATTTTCTTAGGCAAGCCAAAGTTCTCTGTAAGGTGGCCTAGCACACCAGAGAAAATGCCCCAATTTCACCTTGAGGAGGAAATAAAAGGGAAGAGATTACAGAGAAGTTGCGCACTGATTCTGCACCTTGGAGAGACAAAGCTGCCTATGTGGTGCTTGCTGGTGCTCAGAAGGGCTTCTTCTGGGAAGGATTTCTTCCCTGCCTGTGATTGCGGGCAGCTCCCATGTCCTTCCCCTAGGGATGGGCTGTGGCTAATGTGTGGGTAATTTAACACAACCAAAAACACTTTTACGTATCCCCCAGACAACCTAAACTTTGTTTCCCACTGTACTTAATCCTTTGCACAACCACCATATCTTAACTCCTCAACTAAGCACATTGTAAGGATGGCTGAAGCACAAGTTGGTGTTGTTATTTACTCCATTCCGCAAAGTAAATTGGAGCATAATGAGGTAAAAAGTGCCAGGCGGTCTGAAACACCCCAAACGAATGCTAAGCACATCTTGCAAGCCCCTTGTTTATGTCTCCTGTCGGGAGAAGATAGAAGATGGCCTTTCGGGTCATGAAGGCTGAGCACAGAATCCTTACACCCTGTCACAATGTACGTTTATTTAAGAACAACTTCACCTGGAGTACATCATTTACCACAACGAGTGGCTGCATTACTTTGGTGCATTTAAAAAACGTAAGCAGGAGTCACTGTATGTACAAAATGTGCTACAGGTGTAACCCACAATATTTTATATATATTATATATAAACAGCAGTATATAAACAATAATGTTACATGTCACTCTCCCATAATTTCCTGCTGCATTTGGCACACCCACCATGCATACAGATACTGTGATATTATATAGAAGACTTCCTCCTGGGTGTTGGGGTTCTTCACCTTTGTAAGTAACAATGTAAAAAGCAAGACAGCAACACAGGTAACTTTACACAGGATCGTTTCCTCCTGATTTATAAATTCTTTATTTCCAACAGAGCAGCACAGTGAGGATAAATTAGTTAAATAGCTTCAGTTATTCTTTAGTATCATAATTGAAACACAGGTAGGTATATTTTCAAGGTAAGACAAGACTAGCTCCAAGAAACTTGCCCTGCAATAAGTCTAGAAGAACATCTGGAGTCTCTCTACCCAAGTTGCACTAGGCAAACCCAACTGGTGGTCCCAGAATGTATTCAGTGCAGGCATCATCAAGAAATTCACATTGTGCTCTGGGATTAGTCTGCAAAGCATGTGCAAAATTGACAAAGTGACGATTTCTGTGTTGTCTGAAAGCTACTGAAGTGTCTTCCCCTTGCGAACAGGAGAACAGCTTCCCTCACTGCCATCCTTGCCAATATACAACATAGCATGAGCCTAACAGAGGACTGTAAATTCTATTGCTAAAAGAATTTAAAAAACCCCAAGCATTGCTGAGTGGGAAGCATTTTAGTTACATGACCTTGTCTTATCCCCACATCAACCACGTTATGCTATTAGAATTAAATTACGTTAATTAGTCACATTCTTCTCGTTCATAACAAGCCAGGAAAAGGGAAAACCAAAAAGAAAAAGGTTCATTTGACTGTGTCATAACTTCCTGCAGATCAGACTGAAAACAGCAAAAGGCAGCTTTTATCTGCACTTGAAAGGATCTGTGAGCTCTGTCGTCTTTCATCATAGCCTTGGATGCATAAATTAGGTTCCAGCTGATGTAGCAGACTAAAAAAAACATATAATGGTACACACTAAACTCCACCCCAGCTATTAAGCAGGAGTCGTGCCTCCAGAGGAAATCTTTCCTGTATGAAAACCAGAACAACAGACCTCTGAACTTCAGAACCCAGAAGAAAGGGACAAGACCACACACAAAAGATAGAGGGAAGCAAAATGCCAGAGCCTGTTTTTAAGCCAAAACTTTTCAAGCCAAAAGCAGGCAAACAATGCATGGAAAGCTTAAACAGAAGGTCCGAAATAGAAGAATAAATGAGATCTGAAAGGTTGTACTCATGTAAAATCATCCAAAAATTAACACCAACTGAGAAGAATTAACATAATTTAATTACCACCTTTTGCCTCTGAGGAAGCAGGTTATTTTTACTCAAAGACAGAAAGGGTTCTGGTCACAGCCCAATGAGCCCTACACAATTACACCAAATATTTTCTCTCCCCGAGAAGAAAATTATTTCAGCTTCTATCAGCAAGAAAAACAAGCCTTTGGTATTCGTTTCTGAACTTTGTTTTGACTGTAACCCAAAGCTCTGTTTTTACAGCACTCTTTCTTGCAGGCCTTCAACAGAGGCTGCTTGGCTGAAGGTGTGCTTCCACCCAGTAAGGCACCCTGAAAACTAACTAATATCTCTCCTCATCCATGCTCTTTTTAAAGCTAAGGGGACTAATGCCATCACCTACATAAATGAGATCCATCCATATCAAATACTCAAATCTAACCCAGTGCAGGATCCGAAGCATGAAAGGAAAAAACAAATCAGCATTTCTTCCCCAAGCCTACAATTGCTTGTTTTTTGGAAACAGACATTAAAAATAAATAAATATACATATACATATATGTATTCTTTTTAAAAAAGGGAGGATTTAAATCTTTGGAAACAAAGTGAAAGCTATCTCCAGAAAATACATAATTCAAAAGATGCTGCTAGCAGTTTAACTCATCAAAATACAAGTAGGTGAAGGCTTGAAAGTAAATAAGGAAAGCTATGGACTTTTGGCATTATAAATATTTCCTTTTCACACTCTTCCTACTACATACACTGAAAACATTTACTTCTAGAAGGCAGCAATGTTTAAGCAACACGCCAATTAATAAACGTCTGATTAACATCACTCCAGGACTTGCTGGCAGGGAAAGGCAATACGAGCACACCTAATGGCATGGCTGTTTTCAGAGCTGTTGTTTTTCTCTCCAGCAAAAAAAACAAAAAACAAAACAAAAAAAAAACACAAGCAACTACATGAAAGAAGCAAGTTGCTAGATCATCATTTTTAAGACATCACTTTTGAGTATTTCCCAGCTTGGTTTAAGCAACCAAAACGAAAACAGCTCACAAGCTCACGCAAATATTTAAGAATGGGTGTTTAGAGGGGAAAAAAATAAGGTCAGTGCACTGGGAAATACTCAAAACGAGACAGATTCCCATAAATTAAAAAAGGCAGCCTCATCATGAAGAACTGAAGAACTGAAAAGAAGAACATACATTGATGAAAAGAACATACATTAAGCAAAGCAAAGTCCTGTAATTAAGGGTCAGGTACCCACCCATCACAAGGGGAGCTCTGCGCAAAGAGGGGGCTCAAATTTGGCTTGTTAGAGTTCAGTTCTCCATTTATAAGTACTAGTTCATACAGCTCCAAGCAAATAAAGCTAATTGCACCCTTGCCTGGATATTTTAAGATGAGCACATCCTCAAAATTTCAGAGAGTTTAATTTGGACCAAAATAGAAATAGGTAAGAAGTGTAAAGTCTATAAACTTGGGAAGTTTGTGAGCTCGTGCCTACTGTACATTTCCCTCTCAACATTATTTTCACAAAATAAAAGAACCATCTGTTTAATACACATGTGCAAGGGACTAAAAAGGTGATGAAGGAGTGATTTACTCACACTTTTTTTACTCTGCACTTCACAAACATTGTACAACACGACAGTGTGTAACAAACATTAAAAACCAGAAGTGTCCAGTTAGCTGCCAGCTAAAATTTAAAAGGACAAAGAAAGCCTTTCTAAATTCTTTGGGCAATTTTTGGAATTGGTTTTGCTTCAGCATTTTTGTCAGCATACAGCACAGTTCACCTTCTCCATCTGGTACTCAGCAGCTGTCAGAGAAAACATGAGCTGCCAGCTTCATTTTCTCAGTGCCAGTGCAATAGTCACCAAGAACTGGCAGAGGTACATGACAGCAAAGTGTCAGCTCTGCCACAGAATATTCCTGTTCCGATAATGAGTGTTTCATCATTAAATAAATGCTTTTAAATAGCTGTGAAGTTGTTACATCTAAACAACAGCAGCATAGTTTAGAGGGACACACAAAGTTTTCACTCTCATGTGAGTGATGTCAGTGGGAGAGAGTCCAGCAGTTTAAAATCTTATTACTCACTCCTCTGATGAAAGCAATGCACCTGTTAGAAGTAAGTTCTTCTTGTGAAGGACATCATCGTGGTCCCTTGGTATTTACTCACTGCAGTGAGCGGTGCTGATTTCTCCTCAACAGAAATCCAGTATAGGTAGTTTAGGCATAGTTGGAAAGGACCAACAGGAATGTGTTTTGGACATGGTCAGTTTTTTTCAAAGCAAGGACAAAAGGACTGACAACTCACTTATTTTAAGTCCTTTTTTTGTAGTGGTCCTTTTCTTAAGTCATAGCGTCAGTGTCCACTTGAACCAACAGGCTGCGGGAAGTGAGGACACCCCACAGCCTCCAGTGCATCAAGTTGATAAAAATCAGTGCTACACTGCCCACTGAGCACAAGGGCTCTCAAATTTATACACGCAGCACAGTGATACAAAGACGTAACCAGTTATTTAAACTGATTAAATTAAAATATTTTACAAAGCAAATGAGAAAATAGTTAATGAGAAAAAAAAAAATGTATCTGCTGAAGACTTCCCCAAGAATTGGTAGAGAGAGTTTATCAGCAAGCAGACCTGAAATTCAGGTATCTCACACCCACACACACATATATACACGTGTGTGTGTCTATATACTCACACATGTACATATCTATTTTTAGGGATTTGACTTTTTTTTTTAGGAATTTTAAAATCAAGCATATGTAGTGCTGTAAGTAGGAAAATCATACAAAATTTTCTCATTAAATCCCACCAAGATCTTTTCCTGGAAATGCTGATGAGACGGCTGAGTGTTTATTCCTGTAAACTCCTGCGGCTTATCCATGAAGTGCAATCAAACTTGTCAGGATCATGAAACCCCTTTAACTGGAAATTGTCTGTGCAGTATCATGCGGAACAAGCTCTTCTGTTCTTATTCTTCCCAGATTGACCGCATCTCCTCAAGTTCTCTTTCACTTTCTGCATCCTGGAAATGCAGCAAAAGAAGGGACTCATACACAGGTTAATTGAGACAGTTAAAAAATAAAACCTCCCTTTTCTTCTCCAACCCCACACCAGGTTTTAAGTATTAATCCCATAGCAGCCTCACATTTTTCCTCCTAATGCTTTTCTTTTTGTATTTCTCTCTTATTAAAGTCTTCCAAGTCTGAGAGTTTCTCGTATGTTTGCTTTTGAGAGAAGAGAACTGGAAACCAGAACAGCGGAAATCAGACCTTTGCTCCCTCACCAACTTTCCTGCTCTAGACCAATGCCTTTGTTTTTCCTTCTCAATGTGATGGAAGCTATTTGATTGCCTCTTTGGGATGAAAAGAGCTAACATTTGCAAAGACTTGACCAGCCAAAGCCACTTCCTTACTAGACTCCCACTTTTAATTTCGGATCAGAAAAGACAGTTAACTATTCCTGACTTTTCTGCCCATGGATCTTGGCTGGTCAATCCTGAAAATCGCAGTGCTTCTCTGGTTAAATTCTTACATCTCCAATATAAAAAGAGAGGAAAAAAAAAACAACACTCTATCAGATATACCAGTCTAACTCTGTCTAGAGAGATTTCTAAGCAGCGGATGGTGAGGAAGCGCCTCGTCTGGCAGAGCTAGGATATTTCCTTCTGCAAGAAGGGGATTTTTCTGCTTGATGCCCTGGTTTCCCCAGATCCATACAGAAGCCAAGTGGCTTATGCAGTACTGGATGGTGCCCTGCAGGTGGTAGCACAGGCAAGTCAGCATTGCTGGATAGTGGGCCAAGACTTCTTGCACTTGAGTTTGCAGAACTCAGCAGAATACTTTGGCTACAGCAACCCAAAGAATAATGATGGCCTTAAAAACAGGGTGCCTTGAAAATCCTGCCAATCTGTATAATTCTGCCCTACATCCAGAGTGATTATTTCATCAGACAAAGGCTGAAGGTGTAAGATCTAGGAGACCTTGTTCACTTCACTGCATTCTTCGTGACAATGCAAAGAACATCAGATTGATATTAAAAGCTGCTGTGCCTTTATTCAATTTATGACTGGCAGTAATTTGATGGCATCTTCTACACAGCTTCTGCTTAACAGAAAAAGTGCAAAAGGAAAGTAAAGTGGGAAAGAGCTCCCAGATGGGAGACACTGCCACATGGCAGTTTCTAAAACAGTATGGGTCTGCTCTCAGAACTCTGTAAAATTAAGTGATACAAGAACTGAAATAACCTAGATATTAAAAAAAAAAAAAAAAAAAAAGTGCTGTGCAGCACACACAAACTTCTGAATGGCTCTGCACAACGAGATCTAGTTTGGGAGAGCCTGGGAGCTAACTTGGCACCAAGAGTTCAATCTAGGCTGCTCCGAAAGCCACAGAGGTAAGTAGAAATAATACAGAGCTCCAGCCCCAGGACAACCACTCAGCTTAAGTGCCCCCATCTGAACCGAGCTGGCTACGAGTGACAGTGCCCAAACCAATAAACCTTCCCCAGCCCTGGTGCACTGGGAAGTGTACTGCAGTTGCTCTGTGGTTTTGCAGAAATTCCAGTTGACAAGCTGCATTTACACAGACCTGCTAAATACGTGCAGGGCATTCAAATGTGTCTGCAGCCTAATCCTGGAAGTAACAGAGCATTTGTATGGTGTTGTGCTGGAATTCTAAGCCCCTACTGGACACACTCTCAGCTTCTTAATATTTTTCATTATGTTGCTGAATTGCTTTAGGCATTCTCATAGCAGGTCCCAAGGAAGGAAAGGAATCTACGCCAAGGAGCAAACTACTATAAAGCCTGTGCTTGCAAGCTAGAACATCTTTTATAAAACAATTTTATCTCTGCAAACAGAAGTAGCTCACCATCAGTGTGTGATTATTGATTTTTTTTTTCCTCCAAAACAAATACCTTAAATTCTGGCTGTAAGTCCCTTTTTAGTGAAGCAGACTCCCACCACCCATGAATACAATGTGGCTAACTCTTTTAAGCATGCAAGAAAATTAACCATTTTTAAGAGCACATAGGAAGCATGAAGAGGAGAAATTTTAGCTTTCATTTAAAGCAACAGATAGGAACTACTAAACAACTGGGGTATAAAAATGTTTACAACCTTCAGTTCTTTAAATCTAATTCAGAGATAGTCTAAAATATTCTGATAAGATCTTAAACTTAAAATTGTGAAATCTTAAACTGAAATAATTCAGTTAACCTTTAGTATTTAACACATTAATGTAATTGCATCTTATATAATGTTGAATGGCCTAGTGAAGACATGCAAAATCAGATTTCCAGAGAAACCATCAACCTTAAATTATATGACTGAGATTTAAAAAAATTTCCCAATTATGTGGCTTTTGCCACGTAATAAATATGTAGAGGATTTTACATAATCTCATTTGATTTGATGGTTCAAACACATACAACGTAAGATTAATTTTGGTTTCTTTCCTTTCTTGGAAAATAATCCTATTCCGGTGTCACTAAGAAAAACAGCAAAGACTGCTACCTCTTTTGTATTAGCTGGCAGTTCTGATGCAAGATTTGTCCAGAGAAGAGCTGCAGAATTGTTCCCCAGGTCCTTGTAACACTGTGAAGAAAAAATGACAACGTGAGAAGAGATAAACAGGAAAAACAAAACAGAAAAACAAGCAGCTGAACGTAACAGCAATTCTGCAACCTGGCAACAGATAAAAAGGACTATTTCTCTGTCTTAAGCATTTGCACTGTGTAGTTTCAGGCTTCCAACATTTCCTGCAGCGTCCTTCATTCACAAAGGATTATAATCATCATCAGGTTATGGAATACTAGATTTTCTTTTTTGTTGTTTTGGACAAGGAGATTTTTTGTTGGAAGATTTTAAGGTGATTTTCACCATTTTCCAAGGTCTAATTTATTTCCACTTACACAGCCACTATTACTCACGCTGCTTTCATCATAAAACCTCTGTACTGACAGTGTATCATTTTATGTAGCTTTGGTTCCCCAGGCCTTTGAAAACTAGGTCCAACTGCAAGCACTGTAACATATCATATTTGCAGGTCTCTGAGGTTTTACAGTAAGTGTGAACCATTCGTCAGCACGAACTCCTCTTCAACAGCACAGAAACAGTTATCTCTTTAGGCAACATGAAGGTTTTTGGTGCCTACAGTCATGTAGGCATTTGAGGACTACAAAAAAAGCATGCTAAAAGGAAGTGGTTGCTAAAAAAAATCAGTTTATCTTTGTTGCAACTGCCACCAAAAAAAACAAAAACAAAAAAAAAAAACACCAACAACAAATATATTCATTTAGGATCATGACAAGAGTTAAAATTCCTGCAGGGCTATTACTTCAGACTCTTAAATGTTACTGCAGAGTATGTGCATGTGTGTATTTTGGTGATTTTCCTGTATCATGGGATAGTTCTGAAAGAGAACTCTCTGTTCTACTGTGAGCGCTGTCAAATTTCTGCATCTGGTGAATTTGAAACAGATGGAGTCATGGACATCCTTGAAGCCTTCACAAATCCTGTGTCTCTTTATATCAGTCAAAAATATCAGTAGATGACTATAAAACTCTTTTTTTTTTTTAGGTTTGACTCATTAGAGCACTAGTTCCTTAAAAACAACTTGTATTGAACTGAACTTTTAAAATGTTATCACAAAGGATGTGATCCAAAATGACAGAGGCTGGGATTGGGAAAAACAGAACAAACAAAAAAATAGATACAAGTACTCCTATTAACTTCCAAGTCACTTTGTGTTCGCAGAGTGTTTCTGAAGCTCAGTCACACCACACCTGCCAAACGTGGTGAAATAAAAAAAGGAATAAAAAAAGGCCCAATAAAAAAAAGTATTGGCCCATGTAGATTACAATTTAGCCACAGTGAAACCCAATTTTTTTACATCAACTCTGAAAATTCTCTCAGGTTATAACTTGCAATAATTTGCTGCTGCTATAACTTCATAGCAAATGAGTTCCAAGTATGGAGTAAAGAAGGGAAAAAAAGACATTTAGGGAAAGATATTGAATTTGCATGAATGCTGGCTATATTTACAAGCAGAGACAGAAGCAATCAAGAGCACATTCATTATGGTACATAAGCAGTCAAAACAAAAGACTAGCTGATGTACAAATACATAGTTTAATTTACTTAATAGACTCTTCACTAAGTAGATATAATGAGCTACAATGCATCACGGACAAAATCCAGCTGGTGTGAAGGCTACCACATCTCTTGCTGAATTTTCCACTTCTTCATTTTTCTTTAACAAGACACTTACTGTGAAATAAATTCTGCACCCCGATTCCAGTAATAATGTATTTCAGACCAAGCAGATCCTATGACTTGTGTGCTACTCTGATAAAGCTCACTAGCTTTGGGACACTGCAAATTCAGTAATTTCACAGAGAATGACTACAGCTACTCTTTGCTATGACCACTCTGGCTGATACTTCCAAAGCTATTTGGGTTTTAAACGTTTCTAGACTCCAGCTAGAGGTCCTAGGAACTAAGCAGCAGTTTTAAGATTTAAGAGTTCAAACCCAATTATTCCCTCAAGGTAAACTCAATGTGAACTCTTTGCTCAGTTAGATAATGACAGGACAAGGGGGAGTGGTTTTAAACCAAAAGCGGGGAGATTTAGGTTAGAGGTTAGGAGAAAATTCTTCACTCAGAGGGTGGTGAAGCGCTGGCACAGGCTGCCCAGAGAGGCTGTGGATGCCCCATCCCTGGAGGTGTTCAAGGCTAGGCTGGACGAGGCCTTGGGCAACCTGGGTGGCATCCCTGCCCATGGCAAGGGGTTGGAGTTAGATGATCTTTGAGGTCTTTCCCAGCCCAAGCCATTCTATGATTCTATGATAAACAAAAGATATTAAGAGCTTCAGGCATTCATGGCTTATTTAATCATTACCTTAAGACTTGCATCTGTATTAGTAAAATGGAGACACTTTATATGTCACCTTTTCCTCCATGATCATCTTCGTATATACACCATAGAAATCCAAGGTGCTGGTGGCGGCATTGAACCTCCAAAGTGTGGCTTACAGGTTACCATTGCTGCCTTAGAATAGAATTTTATAGAACATAACTTCTAAAACCTTGTTTCTGCACGGAGTAATTTACATGTGTTTAGTACTTTCCATCCAAAGAGGTATATGTATTTCTTAACACAAATATTACTTATGCTAGAACATATGACTTTAAAGGAAAAAGTGACTGGTTACCTTGGCAATGTATACTCTTACTGCTTTGGAAAACCCTGGGCTCAGCTCCTCGACCTAGAAAAGCAGAGGGGAGGATGGAACAGACAGAGAAAAGCAGACATTAGGATATGTAAAGGACACAGTTAAAACCTGTAAAGGACACAGTTAAAACCTGTATCAATTTTTTTTACATCTCTTAAAAATAGATGAGTAAATCCCACTTTTCAAAATACATAAAATAGTGTAAGAACTTTGACAGGCTAGCCTGGCTGCATTAGTAAATGTCTTCGTACTCTCATAGAATGCCTGTGACTCAGCAAGCAACATCCATACACTTGGCTACTGTGAGTGCCAAGGAAAAATGGTGAGTTTGCAAAGCCAAGTTCTCAGAAGCTAAGGGAAGCCCAGAAATATCCTGACTACCTCCTCCTGCCTGTGCACACACTCTTTTTCACCTCCTTGCCTAACCAGTGTCATCCACTTGGGTTTCTCCTGAATGTGCTGGTGCCAAACCTCAGGAATCTTCCCTCAGTTTTCTGTCTCCTCCTTACTGGTTGTTAATTCCCAACTTCCTTGTTACTAACTTCCTTCTGCTTTCTGCCCTCCAGCTCAGTGCCAGTCACCACTCTCCAAGCATCCTTGTTCCAGGATGCTCCTACAACAAATGCCTGGATTCACCCCGCATCCCATCTGCACTCAAATTCAAATGCACTCAGTCAAGGCAGCAGAGCCTAGGTATCAGAGGAAGCTCTGAGAGCACAAGACAGACAACGTTCCTCTTGTTAATTCTGCTGTCTGGTCTTAGACCTAGTTCAGCTGGTGACTAACCCAGAGCTGCAAATTTCAGGATGGTTTCCACTCCCCTGAATCATGCCAACTGTGGCTGAAAGCTGAAGTGGATGCCGCTGAGTGTATGGGAAAGTGCATTTGTTCGGAGTATAATTAGCTTCCAGAGTGATGGTTTTGTATCCTCTCTTCATATTTGACCAAAGCAAAACCTCAGAAAAATCCAAGTTCCCGTTTCAAACCACAGTGCCACTCTAACTTACTCTAACTCCTCTAATGGAAAAAAAAAGCAAAACGCTTTGCTTCAAACCTCTCTCTGAAATGATATATTCATTTTAGCTGAAATTTGGCTGAAAAGTATACTGCCTAGGGCAGACACCTATCACAAACTTACTTCTCACATAATTACCTTTTGGCAAAATTACAATAAATTGATATAAGTATGATATTCCCTGACACTTCACAGAACTGCTGGTGCAATCTATGAGTTATAAAGTGGTAGGGCAATTTGTTTCTGTAACGCTTCATCACAGGTGCTTAAGAGTAGTTCTCACAGGCACAGCCAGACAGTCTGTTTAACTCATTCAGATCATGCGACCCTTGCAACAAGAGCTATGAACGCTAAGATGTGACTCAGGCCATGTCTTAAATTAATTTTTCATCAACAGGAGGACAAAAAAAAAAAAAAAAAAAAAAAAAAAAAAAAAAGACAGCCAGAACTCCTGATAGTTTCTTTCTAGAAATACATATGCAACCTGTCTCTGAAAGCTTAAGACTTGTCCTCAGAAGCCTGGAAAACCTAATCTGAAAGTCTTTTAATAAAATATTGAAAGAAACTAAAATGATAGAACACTGTGAATGTCTATGCAAGTGTTCCCAGGGAGAAACTCAAACTGATATTATGGAACATGAAAAGAATACAGTACAAATGCATTTAGTATCAAGCTATGAATCCATTCATTTTTGCAGCTACTAAAAGGAAAAACAAAACCCTTGGAAAAAAATCTGAACACACTGGATCTAGTTCTGAGGTCTTCAAAATCCCATTTTTCTGTTGGGCTGTTTTGTAATACAGGCTCAAAATTTTTTGCTTTCATCAGCTTTTCTTCCAAAGGCTCCAGTCAGTGGAAATATATCACGGAGCACTCAGAGAGTGATGAGCTTAAGCAGAACACAAATACTCAAATTCCACGCTCATGGTTGCATGTCAGGTTAGTGACTCCCTTGCATATCACATTTCCATACCCTTAAGAAGTTTTGCAGTGCATCCTGTACGGTGGCTGTAGGAGGGGTTTCAAACAAAGCAGAAGCAGTCTTTTTTTCAAGCCATCCCAGATGGGAAACCTGCAGAGACAGTAAGATGAAACTATCAAACCCGGTGAAGACACAGCATGTGCAAAGGTATACAAAGACAATGAATTATCGAGTTCCTTGTAGCTGGCTCATGCACATGGGAGACAGACAATAATATTGGGTGTATCTGCAGATTCTGGTCAAGAATGCAAGTCCAGCTACAGAATTAAACCTGATTTTGCTTTCCTTTGTCCCTGCCTTATACCACCAGTCACCTGCAGTTTCATTCATCAGCTGCCACATGCATAACCTTCAATACAGGATTTGTCTCTACAACTGAGTATCACAGCTGGGTAACAGTGTGGGTGGTCTAAAATCCCTAACCTCCTTCTTGCAACCACACCAGTTCCTGGCAGTTCTCACCTATGCACTGGAGCCCAGGTGCAGATGTAGCCCTCCTGTCTCCCAGCTTAAATCTTGTACAAGAATGTGTTCTCATCATACATAAAGATCATAGATCCCTTGAGAGAGGCCAGCTAAAGCCTTCCCACCAACACACATCCACATTTTGAGATACAGGTAGCTATTATAATCATTTCTTGAAATCTTACTTTACTGTTCCTAGCTCCTCTCTCTAATATGGAACTCCCTGAGATTTTATTGGAGGAAAGATGCATACGATTCTAACTTCTGCTAAGACCATCTTTTTAAACACCATGTAATTCTTGTAATAATTAGCAGAAGCGCTAACTCTCATAGCAGCATGGCTGACTAGGAAGTCCAGAGCAGAATACAGAGCTAGGAGCTGCCACTGATTGAGCTTGCTGCTTCCCTGTAATTACCTAAGGCAATTATCTCAGTTACAATCTCTGCAATGTGACTTCATTTCTGACAGCAGCAAAGCACTTTCAAATTGCCTAAACTGAAAAGTAGATAGTTACTGCAAACTCTTATTTCTTTTTATAGGCACTAAATGTGATTTATGGCATTTGATTCTAAGCTTTTCCTTGTCAAGAAATATAAAGCAGCCGGCACACTTCTTGTAATACCTCCAATACTTTGTGTAGCAGAGGAAACACATGCAAAGGATTATACAGATATACTGTGTGCAGAAGCTCTTGCCAGCCCTGAAATGTCCTTGATTACATCCGTATGTGTTAAAGGTTTGAAGGTAGTTTGTTTTTCTGAATAAAGCAAGGGAAGCAGTAAGCTAGTTTGCAGCTAGTGCTAGTCCATTCTTTGCCGTTTCACTTCCCATGCTACCTGCAGTGACTAAAAAGAAAAGATTGGAGCCCCAAACCTTTCAGAGCTCCAATTTTTAGTAGTTCGGGGAAGAATACTTTTAGCAAACTGCTTCTATTTGGAAAGAGACCAAAAAAAAAAAAAAAAAAGCCCACCAGGGAAAAAATTAAGAGCAGAATAGAGGCAGTATATAAGTGAAACAGCAAAAAAACAGAAGCTTTCATTTAGTTGCACAGAGGTACAAGCACTTTTAAAGCCTTTTTTGATTGTGGGACAGAAGTATTATAACAGCAAGAGTAACTGATATTGCCAGTTTGAAAATGCATTCTTCATGCTTTTAAAAACTCCTTCATGTTTTTAAAATCAGTGTGTCTTCCATACCATGAACCTTTCTCTGCCTCCTGGCCTTTGATCGTGAGCACTGAGCACATTGCAAATTTGCTCAGCCAGTTCTTATCCTGATCACCAACTCAGCCTTTCTGTACTATTTCTCTCTCACTACTGAGGGAGCAAAATTTATATAAACTCTCAAGACAAACCTCTACCATTTAAAATCTATGGCTTTAAGCAGTAATACCAGTATGAAGGTATCATTTTAGGTTTAACAGGAGGTCAACAAGGGAGAAGGACTGCCTAAGACTTTGCAATTACAGTTAAGAAAACAACTTGGATGGAAAGCTCAGAAATTCTGAATGAGACACTATGTCCTGGCAGACATTTCAATAGTGCTTTTATAAAAGCACTGAGGTGCTACACGTACAAGAACATGAACGTACAACATGTTCATTTTGTTACAAGAGGTTTCTGACAGTATTTGTCAGTGATGCGCTCTTCTTGGCACTGTTTCAGGATCGAAGTGAAGAATTTCCAGATCCCATGAAAGTGCAACTTTTAAACAATTTCTTCTAGCAACTAAGACATTTCCACACTGGTACTTTCTGACACAATATCCGAGTTCAGCAACTAAACAGAACGTGCTCACTGGTTATGGCTGGTGATTTCAGCCTACCTGTCTTTCATTCAAACAAGAAGCTAAATTACAAGGAGGAAAGAACAGTAATAAATATTAATAAACCATTTTACCTGGTAACACCACCTGCCCAAAAGATAGTAGGACTTTGGATCCTCTGGTTTCAGTGCAATCGCTTTATCGATGTGTTCCTATGGAAAATCATCACCAACACACATTATATTCTTGCTACAAGCAAATACAACATTCACAATAGCAGATGAACTTATGTAGAAAGAGGAAAGTCCACAATTTCTGAGCAATCAGTGAAATTACAGCTACAAAGATATTCCAAATTTCCTTAAAACTGTTTCAGCTGAGCACAGAACATCAGCATTTTATCAGCCTCAGAAAACAAAAACAAACAAACAAACAAAAAAACCCTACATGTAAAAAAGTGAAGCTGTCCTTCACTTTATTCTATCAGCTTTTCATAACTTCGACATAACCAAATTACTGGTCAGGTGAACAATCGACAATGTAATAATGATATGTGGCCAGTTCTGTAGCAACCGGTGCATCTTCCTACCCTGCAATATAATATTCCTGTTCTGGCAAATTAAGGAAGCTGAGGCAGATCAATTGCCTGTGAAAAATAATTATTTTGCACTTACTTAGGGCACAAGCAGGCTCACAGCAGTTAGTGAAGAAAAGTTGTATCTTATTACCACATGGTAATTTCAAGCTTAAGGTTCTCAATCTCATTGTATGCATGTATTTTATTTGCAAAACTTTTATTCTTCTTTTTTTTTCCTGTCACTATAGTGTGCACAATTGCAAAGCAAAACTAGTCACCCCCATCAGGTGTCACAGGAATCGCCCTCCTCGGCCCAAACCACCCACTGAAAGCATCCCTTTGCTACCTATCACTTCTCTAATAAAAGCTGGAGCCAGTCTTAACTTATGACCACAGAAGTAAGCATTGAACAATACTCACAGAAAAAACAGCACGTCCTCTTTACTCACCTTAAAAACATATCCCGTTTGAATGCGTTTCTGAATGCTCTCATGTTCTGCTAACTGCCCGCAAAGAATAGCATACCTGCACGGAGGAGACATTTGTGGCAAATCAGATTGTCAGCTTTAAATACACATTTACATTCTGCATGCATCTTCCCTCTGAAGATATAGGTGTGTTTAAGTTGCACATCATACTGGGGAAAGCAGGGCATACTGCCCACATACACAGCAAGTATTTATTGCACAGAAATAGCTCAAAGGGTGTTGACGAGTCAACAGCAGCGGCTTGACGTGACATAAAGTTTGCTGCACCGATTGCTGAAGTCTTCCTTCTACATAAGACCAGAGCAGCACACTTCTACAATCCTAAATTTCTCCATTCAGCAATGAAATTGCGTCAAAACACAGAGTGCTGAAGAGCAAATCCTACAGCAGCGAGAGCCAGAACTGCTAAAAGCTCTAATTAACTAGAAGGATGCACAGCCATCTCCTACGCAAATCTAGAGCACGCTGGATGTCTACTTCGAGGGAAAATATTGTGAAAACCTACCTATATCCTGCAGCCCCACATGGCCACCGAACTTGGAAAACAAAATAATATGTTTTGAGTGCTGCAAACTCACACCATTTCAGTTTTGTCTAGTAGGAGACTGCAAAATTTAAGCCTGAGAAGCACAGTACCCAGAAAAATTAGGTATTTCATGAGCAGTGAAAGCAACTAAGCTTGGTTACCCATGGATTTACACCCTCCCACCTCACCTTCCCAGGCAAGTACACCTCTCTTGAGCTTTCTTTTACCACATCCACAGTTCTAACACATGCTTGTGTGGCTGGATACTCTGTCTCGTCTCATCATATGATGTCCCAAAGAGCCCCTGGTGATGGTTAACCACAGCAGATGTTCGTGCAGGAGTCTGTCAGAAGACTCGAATCCCCAAGCCCACTTTCTTCAATGTCACGAAGAAAACCCACAAAACATTTCATACCTAATTGCTCTTGCCAGAACTAAATTTTCCGTGTGTAAGTTACAACGCAAAGAAGTTTCGTCTCCTGCATGTTTACCTCATTCTTTTAAGATGTTAATTTTCTCTTGGAAAACTCTGGTTCTATTCTAAAATTCTTGTTTCTCATGACAAGGGAAAAATGGTCTTAATTGAGTAAATCCCTTTCACCCAACCAGAAAAGTTGACAGCTGCATTGCCATAATCTGACACTTGCAGACGATGAAATGTTTTTACGATCTTTTGGAGCTTGCCTCACAACAAGCACAGCCTGTGTAAAGTATTCCTAACCAGAACACAACTAGGGTTTAGAAATACACGCCAATAAAAAGCTTATTTTTTTTTAGACCACAAGATAAATTATTCTCATACACTTAATCTTGTAGTCTATAGCTCTGTTGGATGCACATGTATGGCTCCTCCAAACACACTATTTAGGCTCCTGGATGTATGGGTAGGCATTACATACAATTAGGTCAGGTTTAAGGTCCCACAACAAAACGGTAAGTCCTAGAAACACCCTTTCTTTTTAAAATGGAAGCTACCACATAATCTTCCTTTATTCCACTCCCTCCATCTGCAGGGGAAGTCTAACACGTCTTCAAAGGAGCAATACATCCAATGGGCCACGAAGAGAGCCCTGATCCCTCCACCAGCCACCACATCAATGTCAAGTGGTGCCATATTCAGCTGTCAGGAGAAGATAAATATTACATTTGTTAACAGCCTGGTGAAATGTCAGTAAAATAAGCAGTAAATGACAGTCCTATCTTTGTGTCATTAAACAAACTTTACAAATGCAGCAAGAGATTCCTCAGCTGGTTTTTCACCAGTCCCAGAAAGAGAAGACCCTACCAAACCCAGGCTTTGCATGAACTTTCCTCTCGTATCTGTGCTTCAAGGTCCAGGTCCTGGTGGTGCTTTTAACACATGAGACTCTGTGGTACTGAGACCTCTGAGGTCTTCAGATCCCAGCTTCCCTTCCTCTCCCTGTCTGCAACCCAGTGTGGTTTTCTATTTTTCTTCTGCTTGTTTAGCTTGGTTTGTCCTTCAATATTGAAGCTATTTGTTTTAATTCCTTTTGTGAAATGCCTTGGGATGAGTGTCACGAGAGGCAATACTCAGTTGCAGGAAGACTAACAGTAATAGGATGGGTTAAAAATAATGAGTTTGGGAAGGGGATTTTCATCTTTTGTAAACATTTTGTAACTTCTGAAACACTGTTCAGATTGATATCTCAGCAGTTACCGAAACCTGACGTTACAAGACTTGCTGGACAAATTATTAACCAAAACTACTCGTGAAGCTGACACTGGTCAAACTCAAGTTCCCACAAAAAGCTCATCTCAGTTAAGATTTCCCCGTTCGTTAGAAAATTAAACTACCGTGCAACGGGAGAGCAGATACTACCAGATGAGCGACTGCTGCTCTTCCTGCCCCAATCCCCAAGTTCAAAACGCACAACTTTGTTGAAACTTCATTTTCGATGCTGCACTCTGGCTGACTCCCATTTACAAGCAGAACTTTTGGCCTCTTCACACAAAACACACAGCTCTCCACAGCCCAGTACCTCCAGCTTTGTGGTGAGGGTGGCCTGCCAACCTAAATACAGCTCTTATCTTTTTTAACTGTTTCAAAGAGTCACTAGCTAAGTCTGCTGGTGCTCCTTGCTGCCTCAGACAGACAGTAAATTAAAAAGAAATGGTGAGGCAAGAGGAGATAAAAGGGGAAAGGGAAAGAAGTGGTGAGAAGCAGCTCTTTTGCAGAAAGCTGATAAAAGTGAAATGTAGTTTGGTTTATATTGCCAAAGATGAGTAAATCTGTAAGTCAGACTGCTGACAATAGCATGGAGAAATTAAAATCCTTTCATTTTATTAAATTCAAATTTTGCTTCGTATCTATTCAAGTAATTTTATGTCGCAATACCCAACGAATTAACAAGCTAGATCATATTCCTATTCAATTGACGCTAGCTGGGAATTGAAAACATCAAGGCTTGCCTGTAAAACTGTTCAGTGCTATTCAAAGAGCATTCCTAGTAAATCAAGAGAGCTTTCATCACACGCAGACATGGAGATAAAAATCCATAGTTGGAGCTCAACCTCCAGTTACTAGAGTCAGATTAAAGGCTAGGAAGAATAAAACATTTTTAAATCAAGCAAATAATTCAAAGAAGCATAGCTTTTAAAGTATACATCTTTATAAAGAATTTAGAAGTTTGCGCAATATTTTATGAATATTAACAGTTTTTCACCTTCCTGTGCACTCACCGAGTCTCTTCACTTGTAAGGGAAGCAGACAGATAATTAGCATGTAGGTATTCAGACTGCAGTGAAACACACCAGAAATGATCATTTATTTAGGGATTAGTACCTTGGGAGAGACAGCAGAAGCCCCAGTGACTTAACCTGGAATTAATGACCATGTGGTCATAAAGAGCTTGGAACAAAGGGGTCAGGCTTAGGCTTTCCTGAACTCAAAACAAGAGGAGACAAGATTGAAGCTAAAAAACCAGGAAGGCAGAAGTACTCCTCCAGGCTTGTCCAGAGAACGTGGTGAGCAAGTTGGGGTGTGGATTCACATGGAACCAGTGACACCGCATTAATTCCCCATTCTGATTTACTCAGAGCACCACACTCCAACTTGAAGTGGAATTGCACAACCAGAAGATGCTCCTTTATTAAAGCCCAAACCATGCATATGGCAGAGTTTCTGTCTTCTATACATATAACCTAGTTTCTCCACTAGCTTTCCAGCATCTGTGAGCCCCAAGCCAAAGTTTGGCTTTGACCTACCAGCAGCAGAAGTCAATGGGCTGTGTGCTGAGTTGCAGTAATAGATGTTGGTTTACTTTGTATAAAGCCATGTCACTGCTGTGCTCACTGTGTTGAATGTCTGTGCCTTATATCTTCCCAGACAGGGGTAAGAATTCATCAAGTGCCTTGCTGGTTCAGCAAGGGAAATAAAATTCTAGTTTCAGGAAGAGTCAACGTTTATGCTGATATAGTGAATTTACACGTGTGGATGGCTTAAAAAAGGAGCTTGTGATGGTGGCATACACACTAGAAATTTAAGCACAATGAATTGTTCTGGATTAGAGCAACATTAACTTCCTACTGTCTCAATTTCCCATGGAGATTAAAAATTGTAAGTATTTGATCACATCAAAAACTGCAGTGATGAACAATAGCTTCATCCCTGTTCTGACTTGCAAAAATACTTACAGCAACTCTTAACTGTAAATATATATAAAATGATTATATACATATAAAAATAAAATCGTGATACATAAAACCAAGTTTGTATATAGGAACACTTTTCAGGATGCTTACCACAACTCCTTTGAAAACATTTCATTTAATAAATTCTGAAAACTGACTGCTGGCCAAAGACATGAACTCATTCTGCAGGAAATACGTATTAAAAGGTTGCAGCCTGCCTTAATCTCACAACTTAAAGGATATTTTATGTGAAAGATGGACTTGATTATCATCTCCACTAGCTAATAAAACAAAAGCTTGTAAATATTCCATCCAGACAATGAATGAGGTAAATGAAATGAACTTAAGCCCATGATATCCACCCCTTATCTTCCAGTACCAAAACGAGCCAGTTCAGATGAAAGGATCAGTTTTAACTTGGGAGTCATACCAAGCTTTGAGACGTCGTAACATTTTAGCCTTCAAATGATCCACACAGATCACCATGCATGGCGTCCTTCAGCTCTGTGAATAGTTAGTAGGTAAGAAGTCTTTTCATGCATACGCAGATAAAAGAGTTTACTGCATAAGGATTTCTGTCTGCAGTTAAAGCTTTTTGCTTTATCCACACAGGTTTTGCACTCTGTCCTTTGTCTCTGTGTTTCAGAAGCTCAGTAACGTTTTCTTACCAAAGGAAAGGAGCTTGCTTCCCGTTTTTAGCCTATTATTAAGCTAAAGAAGTTTATACATGGTAGCTTAGTATCACTCACAGATGTGCAGGAAAGAATTTCTCAGACTTTCCAAACTCCAAGTACACAATGTCAATGGGCAGCACCCTCTCCCATGCAGCTTTCTTCAGATCTGTGAAACATTTCTGTACC